ACAGCTGGATGGGGGAAAAGCCTGGAAGGCCAAACGGTGATTTACCACACCGTGAGTCTGAACAAGGAGAGCCGGAGGAATGGCTTTCAGAATCCCAGAAACAAAGAGGTACACAAATCTCTTCTATTAAAAATGTATGCATTTCTGCTGATACGTATGAAGCCTTTTCCCTGTCAGCATGTACAGGAGGTTTGGCTTGTTCTGTGGATTATTTTGGCCGAGGTGAGGAGCAGGAATGTGGCGAGCTGCCACAACAACAAAGGTCTGCTACATTCAACAGGTGTGTCTCATAATAAGCATGCAGGGAACAGTATTTAAATTGTATGAAGGATTTCTTTTCAATTTGAAAGATAGAGGACAGATGTATAAAGATGTGTGAAGGCATGTGTTCAGGTAAATATTTAACATCCCAGTCAACAGGGAGTTTAATTTAACAAAAGGTAAACCAGACTCTTCAAGGAGTGTACATTTTCTCAAATTTACCCAAAGTTAAATTTCCTTTACAAAATCAGATCTCATCTGTTAATGTTTTTAATAACTTGCATAAATTCCTGGGAAGCAATCTTTCTTTTTTTTCCATTTTGTTCTTGAAACTTGTGGCCTTTATTTTTAAGTAGGTGAGGTGGGGCTCGGTAGAATCCTCTAAAGCAGTTTAAATAACCATAAAAAAATAACCAAATAACCAGGATAAATCAGAAGCAACTGGAATTCCGCTCGTTTTTTCTGAAAACATTTCGCCAACAACGCAGGAGTCTTAAGTCCTGAATACACCAAATCTGATCTTGCGTCCGATCCTACAGAAAATCATGTCTGACGAGGTTTTAGCGTTGAGCTCTCATTACAGTCAATGGCGGTGATCACACCCAACATGACTTTCTGCCAGGGCGCTTTGTGTAGCTTTGAGCTTGATCCCAGGTCTATTATGACTATGCAGCAATTCAGCGGAAATGTCATGGGTCTGACAGGAAGTTATACGTGGTTACAAAGCAAAACACACAAAACGACAGGAAGTGGAGACCTTGAACCATTGATAAGTTCTGATGCTTAGAAAGCAGGAGGATTTTTAGTGAGGTGAACAGACCTGTTCCACATCTGGTGGATTTATATTAAGGAAATAAGAATAATTTATTTTTATTTATTTATTTGTTTATATGATAGGGACAAGTATGTTTCATGCATCATGTCACACACTACAACATTTTAGCTAAGGCTAATTCTCAATGCCTGTCCCCAGTTAGGCTTTTACATTCATTATTCATTAAGTTATCACATTTGCAGTATTTATGCCCACTGTAACCACATAGTTTATCGGAATAATCAATCCACTCATAAAGATTGCGGGTTTAATTAAAATCTGATTCATATATGCTAAACTTGTTGATGTCATGTGAACCCCAGCCGTGCCATGGAGCTGTGAACATCTCAAGGTTTAGTTCATTATTTTTAAATGAAAAAGTTCATGCTATGGGCCCGAGCTAAATATTTTTTCTTTTTTAAAGGCAAGCAAATTTAATGGTGCGAGCAAAGCTGATTTACAGGTGCACTAGAGCTGTGCTGAAAAGAGCAATTTTCCAATTCTAAATCGAATTATATGATCAAATGTGTTTTAAAATGGGTTTCCCACCGTCCTTATAGCTGCCAGGAACTACTACTTCAGTAAATCGCTGTTAAATATTAATATAATGCTTGTTTTAATATGTTGCATAAATATGTAATACCGTAATGTTTAATAATCATATAAATTAGGTAACAGTTAAAACAATATTTTAAAACCAGCTAATTGAGATCAGACTGAAATGAAAAAATTAATAAATTCTAATTTGTGTTCAATTTCAGTATCTTGTTGATTGGGCCTTTCATGCAACAACAACCTCAAACCGTACAGAACTCAAGCTCATTAGTTTATCTTATGTACCTGAGGATTGATCTTCTTCACGTTATGTCTGCGACTCTGTTGTTCATTTAGATTCATCTTGGTGCCTCTGGATGGGTTGTGGTCCTGCTGTCCTAAAATCCGAGAACTAAGTGGAAGTGTGGAAAATCTCAAACAGCTATTGATGGATCAGCCCCAGGTTAACATCAGTCAGGATGGCTCATCTCTACTTGTAAAATGTGAAGATCAAGGTACGGTTTAATGAAACTTAAAACATTAAAGATGAATCACAACATCATAGTGTTTAAAATACATTCATAGAGATTACCTGTAGTCTCACGGTTGCCCAGCAGATGTCATGACTGTAACATTTGGTTTCATTCATGCAAACCTGCATGGGAAAGATTTATTTTCATGTAAGCCCTAAACTATTTTCAATTTACTCGACTGTGTGTTTTCAGATCCAGAACAGGTTGATTGTGATTTGGAGGATGATAAGGGTACAATGGCCGTCCCGGTTTCTTGTCCAGCTGAACCGGAGGAAGACTGGGAAGCAGATATTTGATTTGGAAGATGTTTTGACCCCAGAAGTTGTAAATCTTATCAGATCTACCTAAAGGGATTTTTTTTTTTTTTTGTTCTTGTTGTTGCTACAAAGCAATGTAGTTGGTAATATTATTTTGGACAATATGTTAAAGCTGTTCAGTGAAAAAAACAACAACAATTAATCTAACAGTTTCTTGTCATTATTGCACCTTTTATAAAAATGCTGAAGTGGGATATAAACATGCTCCGAGTTTTAAACTGTTTTATTTAACAGTGTTTGGTAGACACTTTGCCATTTATTACAGTCATTAAGGAAGCAGTCTCAAAAAAACAAGTCTGTAACAGAGAACACTCAACAGTGTCAGAACATCACAGAACATCACTTTACAAGAGATTAGATTTAATTAGACAACAGCTTCACAGAAGTGAAAAAGCAGCCATGTTTGTAACATGTTAGGTACCAAGATGAACACACCTGTTCGACACAGGTTAAAACATTTTATTCCAAAATAAAAGACAAAAAAAAAAACAACTTCTGACCGAGACATCTGGCAGCCAGAGTTTAGACATTTATTACTGATTTCCTTATGAAAAAGACACTTCACTTTCAGACATTTATTAAAAATGTCACATCAGCAACAAAGTATATATGTAAAAAAAAAACTTGCTTAAAATAATAAAAATACAACAAAAATAGATTTTTCAACAACTTCAACACTGGTGCAGATATCGGCATTTATGAGAACAAATTTATGTTTTGATGATAAAGAAGCAAACAATTATTTCTTCAATATAACAATGGACGGCACAATATAAGGAACAGGACATTAAAATGGGCCAGGCTTTGACAAATGATATTAGATTTGACAAAACTAACAAAACTTTAACCATGCGTGTCATAAAAATGGCAAAAACATCAAAAGCTAGTGCAGATATGAATAGAGATGCTCACTTTTGATGGGAGACGAAGATACAAAGATCCTGCAGAACCTGTTTTCACTAGTCTCCAAGCCTGCTTCAGGCAGTCAACCCGTTAAAAATAATGCATTGGGTAGTTGAGCTACTTTGTTCTACAGTATTGTGAACTTCAGACCCTAAAAGGGTGAAATGAAAACTGACTCCAAGCAGGATTATGGGGAACTTTCAACACAAATGTATTCATTACATAATATTCTCTGCTACTTTTGACAGATATCACTAAGCCCAATCTTTTGGTATGAAAAGATAATGCATAGGTACATGTTAATAAATCCAAATATAATTCAGAGATTTTAGCTATTTAATTAAAGAGTGAAATTTCAGTTGATACTAATCATAGATATATTTCAAGCATTTATCAATTTAGATGATTAATAGCCTACAGTGACTAAAAACCCAAGTTCTGTTCACTTCCTTAAAATACTCAAACCTTGCTTTTGAAATTAAAGCTGTTTAATACAGATTGAGGACATCAGACCACAGAGGAATTGCCCAAACATTCCCCCCCCCCCCCCCCCCCCCCCCCCCCCCCCACTCTAGGCCACATTAAGTTCAGGAGTTGTTTAATAAAGGAAAGATGACAAGTGGTAGTCGATGTCTTGTGTACATCTGTGTGGTATATCCTAAGGGACTGTCACATCCCATTTCAACTGAAAAAATATATCTTGTATGGGCTTTGCCTCACGAAGCTCTCCAGGCTGTGGTTCCTCCTACTGCTTATACAATTTTCAAGCCATTTTTTTTTCTCCACTCAACTTCCTGAAAATCTTTGGATGCTGTACTCTCTTTGAACAACCTGCTTCCTTTACAGCAACCGTTTACATCCTACCGTTCTTGCTAATGGTATCTTCTACTACCTGCTGGATGACTGAAAGTCATTTCTCCTCCCGACTGACTTTTTTAGATGTTTTTAGGGACGATAACATTTATTTCAAATCCCATATTGGATTAGGAGACTTTTAAATAAACTAAATTCTGGGTTTTTATTCACTTAAGGCACTATTGTAGTGTGCAACAAATCTTTACATGTTTTCACCATACAAAGTTATATAATATATAGATTTTTTTTCCATGATGTTAAAATTTATTAAAATGTACCCGTTTTCACATAAATGCAAGGAACAGTGAGCATTTTCGTCTTAGCAGTGGATCACCTAACATTTTGTTCTGTGGTTTAGTTTGTTTAGAGACAAACAGCAGAATATGTATCCGATTTACAAAAGTAAAAACTATTCAGTCAAAGATGAATGTTTGTTGATATATTTTTCCTGATCTGCAGAGCAGCAAAGATACACATCTGTACATCTGAAGCAGAACGAGATCTCTTAATGTAGAAGATATTTAGCTTTAGATAATAATCCTAACAGGATTTTTTTTTTTAGTTTTGAATTTCTTTAAGTGACCAGAACTGAGAAAGTGTAATGAATAATCATGGGTAATTTAAGGTAAATTAGGCCTGGTTCTTTTTTGAACAGGGGTTCTATTTCTATAAAAGTTTGTGAAAAATCAAGCAGACAAGCCTGTTTTTTCTTTAAAAAAGAAAGAAATATATATATATATATATATATATATATATATATATATATATATATATATATATATATATATATATATATTTTGGTAAACAAATGGAGCAATACTCTCCCGTTTTCTCTTTTCCAGTCTGGACACATTCATCACGATTCCTTCATTCACCCAACGTCAACAATATCTACTATCAATAAAAGTGGCCTCACACATACTCACCCACTCAGTGTGCATTCACACATAAAATAGCTTACATCATATGTTTTCTGTAGTAAAATATTTAAAAAACAAACAGTTATCAGTGCCGACTGCAGCATTTAAGCTGCTCATAGGCAAATGATCAGGAGGACATCCTATTTAAAAGGATATCCAAAACAATTAGAGATTAAAGGAATGTATCGAAAACGCTCTTCATCTGACCTCCCTTTGAAGGTGCACATATTTCCAGCTCCTTTCTTTAAAGTTAAAAAAACTTGATTTCATGTGAAATGCATAAACATACAGGACTTATCTATACCCAAACAGTGAAATTATTTGGCTCAGAGAACTGAGCATGAAGTAAAATAGCAGAATAAATTATTTTTTAAATCCTTTGTATTTTCGTTAGCAATGATTTTAAACCCCTTATTGGCAAATTTATGTGTTTAAACTGAAGGAGAAACACTTTTTGCTCCTGAATTACAGTATATAATGTGGCACAAATTAACACATGGGGGCGCTATAGTTATATCCACAAATCAGGCTTGACACAGTGCTGATCACGGGACTAATCAGTGTGCTGTGGGAATTAAAATATACAAATGGAAACCATTCTTTTAAATAGTGTAATGAGGTTCATTCCATCCGTGAGAGGCTGCAAAACTTTAACGCTTAATCACCACCTGCTCGTAGGCACCACCACCAACCCTGAGACGACAAAAAAAAAAATTCAATTTACAAATCACAATTTGTATATTTGTTTGAAATCCCCCCAGAAAAGATCCTGCTACTCATGCAATATCTAAAAGTAACCTAATTTTACAATAGAGCCTATCCTCAACAATGCTATGGCTTCTAAAACTTTAAGATAAAAAAAAAGCGCAATCATTACTTCATTTCATCCAAGCTTATCACACCTACATTTTCATGCTGAGTAACAATGGTGCTAACATGACGTCAAACTGACAACATTTTATAAATATATATATAAAAAAAATAAATAAAAAAAACTAGCAGAAGCTCACCTGGTGGGAAGATGATGGCTTCCCAGGGCCGTGCTTCCTCCTGGCCCGACAAACAGACGTAAACCTTCCTCTGTAGAAAACACAGTTGTAACAGTCAGTGCAGGAGGTACACACAGCCTCCTGTATAATTCTTGTCATGAGGAGCAGCCAGTTGCTAGGCAATCTAAAAATAATCATGTATCGACAGCAGCTCTTTTTTCTTAGCTTTGAGCTGAATGAGACCTTGGAAAGAAACACAATGCTGTCCTCTAAGTACAAACAACCTGACTCACGGGGTAAAGGAAGAGCACTCCTGTATTGTGCGGCAAATTCTTTTTATTCTTATAGCTTAAAAACCTTCCTGAGGTAAGATGAGTGAAAGATGTGTGTGAATCTTTGATTCTCACCTTCAGCGCTGGAGTCCAGTAAACTAGGGGTGAAATCTTGACTTTGTAAAATCTTTTCCACAACATCATCAGCATCCACCCTGGTGTCATCCATTCTCTTTAACTGAGACTCCATCGAGTCCTGTTTTATAGGATGCCTGTGGAGAACAAAATATTTCTCCTTTGAGAGACTAAGAACACAGTTTGACTTATTTGGAACAGGCTGTTAGCATCATCAAAGTTTTAGAAGTGAAGCTCACATTTTTATTATATTTCATTGTATTGTACAATATTGTACTTCTTTCTATAGTGGAGGGTTTAGCTAAGTTTAGAAAATTCTTTAAAAAAAAATTGCTAATGCACAACCCTGTACCAGCTCCGAGAGGGAACATCTATTAAAAACGTGCAAGAGCCTGCACGAGCCCATTTCTTCTTGTGCACGCTCTGTTTAAAAGTTGCTGTTTGCATTGCTCATACAAGCTTACTTTCCAAAAAAAGATTTGCAATTTTTCCACTATGTCAGACTCACTACCGGTAAGTAAAAATGGGAACGAGCACATAGGATGGCCTTACGTAAACATATCACCAGAATGATTGACATTTAGAAGGACCACTTATTTTGATGATCCACACAGAAAAAGAACATCCCCCACTATACTATACCCTTATGAGACCAGATAAAGTGCTGAGTGACCATCTGTGGTCTTTCTGAATAATGTGTTTGTTAAGAGGCAGCAACACTTGCCTGGATCTACCTACTACCTGACAAACAGGCCAGTTTGTGAGACTGAAAGGTCAACTATCTAATTACTTAGCAGTGCAGGAGCACCACAGGGGACGGTACTCGCACCATTTTTACTCTATACACCTCTGACTTCCAGTAGCAGAGTCCTGTCATCTGCAGAAACACTGTGATGATTCTGCAGTTGTTGGGTGCATCAAAGATGGACAAGAAGCCCAGTACAGAGAGCAGGTGAACCACTTTCTGAAATGGTGTGGAAACAATCATCTGATACTGAGTGTCAACAAAACAATAGAGATGATTGTAGATTTCAGAAGAAACAGGAGCAAGGGGGATAATATAAAAAAAATGGCAGAAAGTATTATTGAACTGATTTTTATCTCTGAATTACTCTTGGGCGGAGGTCTTCAACAGGGGTCTGCAACCCCTAGGGGGTCCACAGAGGTACTGCATGGGGGTCGCATACGTTTTGGTTGATTAGACTTTTTTTTTTATATTCCCCAATGCAATTTTTTCCACTAATTGAAATGTCTTTACATACACAATAACATGAATTCAACACACTGTAGTAAACAGATAAATGGAGGCAGAAGATTCACACATTCAGCGACACACAGGAGCTCTGTCGAGCCGGGCACCTTTTTATTCACAACACCTGTCCCATCAACGAGGAATCAGAATCAGAAATACTTTAATAATTCCAGGCGAAATTACTTTCGTTGCATGACTCCATATGTAATAAACTGACTATAGGACCAGTTTGACAGAACACAATTTCAAACGATGTATATAATTAGGGGGTCAATGCTCCATCTCGTCATCAGTTTGGGGGTCCTATGTCCTTTTCTTTTAAATTTATTTGTTTTGTAGTTGTTTAAAAGTTAGTTGTTTTAGTTAGTTTTTTTTTTTTTGGTCAAGCAGACTTGCAATAAGCCGACTGCTAAATTGATGCAGTCTATGACTGCATAGCTAGTTAGCTTTCATCTCCCTGAGAATCGGTCTCCGCCAGTCACGTGACTTTTGTTGCTAAGACGCCATTTTAGTTGGAAAAGGTGTAGTGTAAACAACCGCAGCATAGCTAAACGAAGGACTAAAGGCCTGTTTACATAGCAGCCTGTCCAAGATAAGTCATTACAGTTAACATAAGCCTGAAAACAGGGGCGGATTTAGGAAAATCGGTCTCCGCCAGTCACATGACATTTGTTGCTAAGACGCCATTTTAAGTGGAAAAGGCATAGTGTACCGCGCCCGAGGTAAACAATTGACGTCACTTGGCGGAGACCGATATGCTGACTTGGTGAGCATGGCCACTAGGAAAGGGAACTTCAAAAATCTAAATGAACTGTTTAGTCAGGATCAGAATTGGCTTCATTCACCAAGGTTGTGCACAAAGAAAATTGGATTTTTGTTCTACAAAGTTTTGAATGAAGGCATTTTTTAATACAAAAACATAAAAATGTACTTCCCAACTATTAGAGACTGGTTACTTTATTTTGTTCATGTCACCCCTCTCAAAGCTATACAACCCTTCTATGATTTCGCTCATCACAGTAGTACGTATATCTGGTTTTAAGCAATTCTAAAACACCTGCATGCAGAGCACTAGAGCTCCTGCTGTTTAGCTGTTGCACTGTGCTTTGCTAGGGACACACTGCGGAAAAGAAAATCACACTGAACCCCCCACAGGATGTGCATGTGGTGTTGAGATGCAAATTTGACGTCAACGTTTGAAATCTTGTCCTACAAAAAATACAAACCGGGTCTTTCTGCAAAAACTGGCTCCGAGCTAATAAACCAGGACGTGGTGCTGACAGCAGGCTGCGGTTTAAACCACCTTGCAATAAACAGAAGTCAGGGCTGGCTAGAAACAAAACTTTGAGGAAGAAGGCGGAAAATAAGAGTAAGTAAGAGAGTCAGAGTGTCATTCATTTACTTCAATCTTTTAAGTAATCTAAATTAGTTTTTTAACCAGAACTTTTTTGGAACTTTTTGAATTTTAGGAAAACATTTGTTACCATTGCAAGTATGACTTTTACAGATTAAATAACGTTTCCTTATCTCCGTCTGGAACTAAAGTGACATGCAGTTTTTCAGGTGGATTGAAACCAGACTGTGACAAGTTTGACGCAGCACTTCCTGTCACAGTTTGATGTTGTCTTGTTGTCAATGACGTTTCGTAGCAACCAGCAGTAATTCAAACTACTTGTTGATTCATAAGTGCAATAAGACTGATAGTGATAGTCCTGTTTGCATTTTTCTTAAAAAAAAAAAAAGCTAAACCAATTTAAAAATAAAGGTTGTATATAGTAAAAGGTTTTGGTTCCTGAATTCATATAACTCTGTGGTTTCTATACATATATGAACTGACCTGTTCAGTCGCTCGCAGGACGAGGCACTGCGTACTGGTGTGCCCTGTGTATTGCTCGTGGTGGCTGTAGGAGCCGGGCGTTCAGGCAGACCCGGACAGGGTTTGGGCTCCCGCTCCTCGCTCGGCTCTGGGATGCTTCCGATTCCGGTCGAGGCACTGCCCACAGAGTGATTTCTCCTGTGGCTGAACTCTGAGATGCTGGATGAGCGAGAGTGGCCTGTGCTGTAGCCTAAGAGAGACAAACTTTGATATGAACACACAGTAGGATATCTTGGGGAACATTTTTTAATCGTCAATCCCAAAAAAATTCAGCATTTTCAATCCCGTTACGATTTACAAATACTAAGAAAACGGTTTTAATATTCTCAAGTTCATTTTTCAACCAATCCGAATATGAATAAAAAAATTTGGTCTCTTTCAATAATGCAATTCACAAAATGGATCAGCATAAATTAATTACACAGTGAAATGTTAGTTAATATTTTAAAGAGCAAATTAAAAAATTACAGTAAAGTTGATGGGAGGGGGGAAAAGTTTAGAGGAAAAAGTAAAAAGGAAAGAAAAACTGCAGCAAAACCAATTCAGCAGTTATGGGAAGATCCAGCAGATGTGGACTGCAGCTCTGCTCGGATGGGTTTAATCTTAGGGGGTGAACCATAAAGACCCGATGGACTTCAGAGATGCTAAACTGTTCATGGATAAACTAACTCCGTTCTTGTGTGTAACTGTTTGAATAATTTAATGTTTACCAGAAACTTCTCTTTAAATAGTTTGAATTGCACACAAGATGAGACGATAGAAAGATGGCCTTCGTCAATTTGAATTTTGTGTATCATTTGATCTTTGTTTTTTTTTTCTGTTGCAAAACAAAATGGCAAAAAGGAAATATCAATTTTTGTTTAATGTTTTTCTGTTTCGATAACCTCAATGCAAAAAAATTTTTTTCTTTTAGCCATTTAAATCCCAAATAAAATATACAGCTTTAGTTTTAAGTATTAATAACAGCAGCGTTGTGTCAGAAAAAATTAGTGCAACTGTTGTAGGTTAAAATTCAACCAGGGATTGGGTAAAGCATGAAGGATTTGGAAATATTAAAGAATTTAAAACAGACTTTTTTGTTTTAAAGTAAAGGAAAATAATAACATACATGTAGGGTTACAAAATGGCTTACTTGAGACATTGTAAAAAAAAAAACTGATAAGCAGTGCCAACTGTCTTTTAGTTGCAAACTGTCACTTTTTGGCAAGCGATGGATGTTTCTGCAGAAATACTATGAGACTAAATGCATTGGCTGCATTTAAACCTTCACCTGCATTGAATACAGAAATAGGAAGAAAAAAAAAACATCCTAAAATTGGCATGTTTTGCGCTGTTATTGAGCCACACATTACTGTGTTATGAGGCTTTTTTCAGGGTTTTGCATTGAGCACAACATATGAAGAAGCAACACTCTAATATATACAGCATTCTATGTATGTTTTTATTTTGAAATCTAGATACTGAGGTACAAAAATAGGAAATGCTGAGTTGGTTGCCAGGGGACCCGTACATAGAATCAGAGATGGGGCTGATTTTGTTGTAGTGATGTTGTCCAGTTAACATTGATAGGTTAGATAATAATCTGTTAGTCACAACATCCTCTAAATAAGACAAAAACGTTCATAGTGAGACGTTCACTATTTCAGTGCTGCTTAAAACTTAATGCACCAGATGTTTTGACTATGATTATAGGTTCTGCCAGAAGGTTTATATAGAGCAGAAAACTCATACTTAAAGTCTTAAGCCCTCTTCTTCAATGAAAACTAAAATTCAATACCAATTGGAAATTATGCTTTCAAAGACTGGAGAAGGTTTTAACCATCAAACAAACTAGCCTGACCTTGATCACATAAAGTTGGGGTCTAAAACCTTTTCCATTCAAAGATCCCCTTTTGTCACTGCTAATACTAATAAAATGTAATAGAATCAGATAGATCCATCATAAATAAAAGAAAATATAGAGGATAGAAAATAGAACAATCAAAAGCTCACCTAAACACATAAAGCATATAGTTAAAGCTATTCAATAACTTTTAAAAGCCTTGTACTGAATATGTGCTGTTGTTGTTAATATTAAAAGTATATCTCATATGTGAGAGGATTTGTCGGCTCTGGAGCTGCAGGCTGCAGATCCCTGAGATAGAGAGGCTATGGAGTAAAGTCAGGAGAAGGAGGAAACAGACTGAGCAATCCAGAAGAACTACAGGTCCTCATTTAAGCAACCTGAGCTTCTTTAACATCTCAGATAACAGTTCAAATAATAAGCTAAACCAGACGGCAGTGTTTTAAAACTGGGATCAGATCCACTTTGAACCTCTATATTAGGGTTCTTCATTTTAGGCTTCGAGGTTCAGCTATCTGAACCTTTTAGATGCTTCTCTGCTTAAACACATTCAAGAAAGGTTCAATTAGAATAAAAATAAAATTGGTAAGGACTACAGCCAAAAATTTCAGCGGTCACCATAGGTGCTGCTCAAACAGTGCTGTCAGTAAGGAAGGAGGTAGGAAAAGGAGCATGTATGCTTCCTGTCATAGCTCCTCAAAGGAGCTTGCTAGGTTCCTAACTGAAGCTAAGGACTAAAAGTATAAGCAATCCCACAGTACATTAAATGACTTTTGATATTATTGAATCATATCCTGTGTTTGAAACATGCATATATATACTGTATATAATATATGGAGTGCTTGCTTCAATTTGACAACATAATCCATGTGTGTTTCTGTTGTCCAACAATTCCAAAAAGGCTGGCGAGGAAATGGTACAGAAGTCTGAAGTTCCTTTCATAGCCACCATAGAGATCTCACTGATGATCCCATAAAAAGTGAAAGGGAGGAGCTAGGGGCTACCGTTTGATTTATTGTTTAAAGAATCTGGTCATTACCAGAAACTCGTCATCATTCAGGGTTTTGCATCAATAGGTTAAGTGAATCTCTTTGTATTTTGCTTTGAGATGACCTTTCATTATAATAGCATCAATTGAGCATATGCACTGAGTTCATACATTTTGCTTTTCAGTAGGCCAACATTTATTTAGCAAAATGTGTTTTCTTCATTGGTCTTGATTTAAAAAAAAAAAAGAATTTGGGGTTTTTATCAGCTGTATGCCATGATTATCTAAGTCATAAGGAAGTTTTCAACATGCCACTCTGTCACGAAAGCAAACAAAAAAAGACTTTAACTTTTTAACTGATTTAATATGCTCCCAAATTTAAATTATAAATGATTTGGCTAAAGGCATTAAGCGGCACATAGGCATAACAGTATTTCCACTTGTGATGATCAATGATTTCACTTTTTTGCTACTAAAGTTTCAAAGTCGTGACGCTTTCGTTTCTGCAGGAAGCCAGTTTAAATCAAGACATCTGAGGGTATCAGACCGCTCGCATAGAAGAGATGACTTCCTGCAAACTAATCTGAGATTTAAATGAATCTTATAAACATTTGCACGAAGCAGAAAAAAACCTGTTTCTACCCTTCATGAGCGACCTATTACAGCTGATCTCTGTGCATCTCCACTTCCTCTAATCGTTTATTAGTGCCATTTGATCTGCCTGTGGTGGTAAGTCGAGCCCCCTGCTTTGAACAGGAACCGTGAAGCGTTCCTGCAAACTGATTTCATTTCCTCCATCCTCCTGGAACTGAAGGTTACTTTTAAATTTACTTGCATCACTGAACAGCAGGAGAAAAAGAAAAGACATTACAGGTCTTTAGAGATTGTAATCTTTGTACCTGAGAGTTTGGACTGCTGACTGGCGTAGCTGGATGTTCGGGAGTGGCCACAGCCCCCCAGATCGTCTGACATTGCGGGACACTTCCCTTCTCGACTTTCACCTGGAAAAGAATGGACAAAGTGGAGGATGAAAAACAAAAGCTTTGCACTTAAACATTTTAGCATAAATAACTTTAATATTATGTGTGCCTGTTTTTTTTTTTTTTTTTTTTTTATCAGCAACCTCAATTTTTAGAATAAAGCTCATGCTGAATGAACTACAACTTTGATGGAAATAATCTTGGTCATCGGGAAAAAGGTGGACAAGTATGAAAAATAGTCAGTAAAAATAAATGTAGGAAGTTGTTGCAGAACGCCCAACTGTTCATGGCTGATTTTCTCTAAAAAAAGAAAGAAAACTGCATTCCTATAAAAATAATATCCTAATCATCAAAATGCTCTCTTAATTCCATTGCCTGAAATTTAATAAGATTTAATCAACTGAAATTTGACTAATTTTGAAACTACTACAGGGTGTAAAATTTATTTTAAAAAGGTGCTGCGGAAATAAAAAACTTAGTTTGACCTAGGATAATGAAAAAAAAAAGCCTGGATATATCAGTCGACTGTCTCTCTTTACTTTCTAGCATTAATGCTCAAATACCCAAACATCTAGAATTAAACATCTATTGGTCCAGTATAACTGAAAATGGGTCATGATCTGGTCTTTCAGCAAAATAAATGAGCCTCTATTAAAGGTATAGTGGGCGATCATTTATTTCCGGGTGGATCATCAAAATAAGTGGTCCTCCTAATTGTCAGTTATTCTGGTGATATGTTTACGTAAGACCGTCCTACATGCTAATCCCCAATTAGCTATCTTTTTCTGCATATGCGCACTTTTAGACGTACAGTAGATGTGTGGTGAGCTACGCTTTCAGACAGTCATTAAACCTCACCTTTCTAACCGCGATTCTTTGAAAATGGACGAGGGTTGTAAGAGAAATAGTGTCTATGAAGTGTATGAGAAGTCTTCCTGCCTGAACTTAAAGTAGCCACGACACCCCCCCCCCCCCCCCGTCCTACTGCTCAATAGAAAATAAGCAACAATGCTTAGAAAAATAGTACCGTCATTAGACCACCACATTTTACAAATACCACCCCCCACAGTCCTATTTTTAACCATGTGAAAGCCCACAGGTCAGAACAGATTGCAGTTGATCTAAAAGAGCCTCTTTAAATTATACATGAAAGAGCTGTGCTCTTCGCAAGCATTCGGCATTGCAATGTGTTCACACATGAAGACACAGGACTAAAGGGAGGAGAGGAGACAGATAGCAGAAGGGGACAGCTGGGGAAGAGATTCTGATGTAAAAGGGAATAAGGGATAAAAAGCAAATTATGGATGCATAAAAGCAAAAAAAACGAATAAAAAAATTATTAAATAGATAATTTCCGGGAGGAAAAACAGCCTCACACATTATAATAAGCAGGAAACTTTTTATGCCTTATAGAAGTGTATAAAGCTTTAAGAATACATAAAGGAAGAGGTTGTGGATTATGTGAACATAACTAGATTTTGGTTGCCTTTAAACAGTCATAAAATCATTTTGGATAATAAAGTTGAAAATGGGAAAAAAAACTCCAGAAATGTCAAGTTAAACCAAGTCAGATTTCGTGAATCACTTACAGCAAGATGCTGCGCATCTTCAATAAGTCTGTTGTGGAGTTTTGTTTGTTCTGACTTAAAGAAACCCACAAAGCTAATAAAGAAGGCCAGCTCTGTTCTAGGAAGCCATTTATGAATTCTTCATAAAGTGAAGAACACTATGGATGGAATTGAGCATCCTCTTCAGAGGACTATTAAACACTTCTCCAGCTCTGGAGAAGTGAAACACTTCTCCAGAGCTGGTGCAAGACAGACCTATACCTACAACTATAAACATCTACAACACATCGGGAAAAAAAAAGCCAATGAGTTATAACATTTAACTTCCCTTTGGGATTAATGAAGTATTTTTGAACTGTATAGAATGAAATATTCATGCATCATTGCTTTAGAAAATGAACTTACAGAAAGATGATAAATCCTGACTTTGTTCACCAGATGGTTTGCTACGCCGAACCGCTCGGCTCAGCTGCTGTGATAAAATGCTGCAACGCTGCAGCTAATGACTGGAGGGAAAGCCCTGGATTATCAGTTTAGACAGCACTGTTATTTACTTATTCGCTGACACAGTTTAGTAGGTTGCTCTGAAAAGCAGACCATGTGCAGACTTAAGACCCAGTCCTGCTGCGCGCGCTTAGCTGACCTGTGTCTTAATGACTCAATGAGTCGACTTTATCTTACCAGATGTTTGTTTTTCTATGTCAAGTGTGAGAGAAGACTTAAGTACTTAAGTGTTCTATCTGCATGAGGTGCCACAGCAAACACTACTTAGTCTGCCTCACAAAAGTATTTATACAAAACAAACTTTTTTTTTTTTTCTTTTTCTCAGCAACCACAAACTTTAGTCCTTTTAATTTTGATTGTATGAGATGGGGCAACAGAGAACTGTAAAGAATCATGACGTGGAAGAAAAATGATGCATAACTTTTTTTTTTCTTCTTTTTTGTACGAATACACTTACTCGAAAAATAAGCTTACATTATGTTCTTAGTCTACCGGACTCTATGCTTTTAGCGCCACCTTTCACTGCAACTAAAACCATAAATGCTTTTGGGTGAGTCTTTACCAGTTTTGCACATTTGATGTTTGCAAAATAGCTGAAGTTCTGTTCGATTGGATCAAAGCAACTGTTAACAGAAGTTTCTAAGTCTTGTCAGAGATTCTTAATAATTAGATTGAAAACTCCCTGTACTTTACTGAGTTACTCTAATCTAATTCTCCACCATTCTCTTATAGATCTGGCTGCATGCCTACCATCACTGTTACAGTAAAAGCAGAACCTCTGCCCCAGTTTAGTCTTCTGCAGCTTCAAACAGGCCCTGTATTCAGTTCCCTCCATTAGCCCTAACCAGCTTCCATGTCCCTGCTGAACAGAGGCATTACTACACCATGATGCCACCTCCTCCATGTTTCACTGTAGGTTACGTTCCTTCAGGATGATGTTGGGTGTTGGTTGCATTTTATTCTAGTTTGCCCTACAGGCCAGACTTCTGGTGGCTTACTTTCCAATTTACCATATAGAGCTAGGGATGACACGTGAAGAGCATGACTCACAGATTCACCATTGTTAGGACAAAGATGCCTGAAGACGTTTCAATAAACTAAAAGGGATGATGTGGCGTGATTAGTTTCACCAGAGAAACCTTTCTGCGAGTCTCCTCCCTTCCTCTCCTCAAGCAGGCTCTCTCCATCACTCTGGATCCCGATCACCGTGGCTGTGGATGGAGGCCTGGTAACAGTAGAAAGACAATGCATCTTTATTTTCCTCCTTGTATTTCAATGAGTCCTTTATTTGTTTTAAGGAAAAAAACAACGGAACACAGGCAGGCTGATGCTGATTTCAGTTTCAGAATAAGGATTAATATCAACCCCAACAAAATTCTTAGTATAAGAAATTTCACATTAAAGAATAGGAAAGCAAATTATTGTCATTAATCATCGAATGTTCTTCTCTGTTAATTTTTCGGTCCACTTTTATACAATAAGTCTAATAATCCTTCCAAACCGCAAAGGATTACTGAAAATAAAGCCATCATTAGAATTCCATACAGATTAAACCTTCCCTGACTGCAAATGTCAGACGTCACATTTCCCCAGTGGATCAGGCTGCAATCAAAACAAAATACCAACAAATAAACATGAGACTTAATGAACCATTTCTGTTCATTAAGCCTCTGTTTAAAAAATAGCAGAAGATTGTGGGACTTAAATGTTCTTGAAGTGATTATCCAAAATATTTAGGATTATACAACTAATTCCATATTAAAGCATAGCTGTAGACAACATGAGCTTAGTAGAAGCTAACGTTGACTTAGCTGTCCCATTTAATATCACACTATGGTATAAAACTTATTTATTTAACTTACGTTTTGAAACAGGGATCCCCTGACATGAGCTGTGTGCCAATGATAACCTAGAAAGAATAAAACGTAAAATTGTTTATTACGGTACATATTCCCAGCTATTAAAAAAAGAAAATTTATTAGGAAAAACTTTATAAAGCTTGCAAACCCACAAAACAGGGCCACGGTTGCCATTGGTAACTGTTAAATAATATTGATCAGCTGGCTCTTTTAAATACACACATGCTTTGCATGGACCAATGTGGATGTAAAATGGGTCAAAGGTGAGGTGGAGCCTTGGATGTAAACCTTGAAGCACAGCTGTGATATATACAGTAAAATGACTTGGTTTTATGTGTCCACGTGGTTTAATAAATCCACTTAATGTTTTATAAATGAGACCCAAGGGCTATATTTCTTACATACAGGGGAACTAAACTGAGTCTTCTGTGGGTAAATGATTGTTACCTTGAGAATGGAGTTATCCTGCCGGGTATTTTTGGTATCATATCCTTCCAGAAGACACCTCCGAGTCGTATTTCCTGAGCCGGCGAACTCTGCTAAATTCAGATCTGCAAAACCGAGCTGAAGGAGACAAAAACAAGCCTCATGTCTGGAGAAACTGATCCTTTTTCCCCATCAGCAGTATGACCTTTTAATGCAAAATTATGAGATGCAGGGACATGAAACGAATCAAACGATCCGTATATAAGAGTACTCCAAAGCTTTTTACACTACATTTACTCATTCACACACCTAACCCACCAGTTACAAGACAAACCCTTCATAATAAGCCATCCTTGTACCAAACAGGTTTTTAAATGGGTATTTATATATATAGCTATTGCACAGGCTATTAAATACTGATTTCACATTAGTTATTGCACAAGTTATTACAGTTATAGTGCTGATATAGTACTGTTAACTTGTCTAAATATGTAGAAAGCAGAGGCCAACGTTTCTTAGCTGCTCTTTAAAACGGTAAAAACAAAGGTTTGTGCCATTAATGAAAAGCAAGTATTGATCCTCATAAGCCTATAAAAGGCTACAAGAAACAGCTACTCACTAACACTTTCATGTATCTACAGTAAGCAATAATAGAGAGTAAAAAATATATATATATATTATAGTAGTACTTTGAAGACTGGGCAAGGAGCCCGGGTTATCGTGCCAAGACTCCCACTGTGATGGTTGTAAAGAAAATAAAAGAATCCACATCTAAAGCTGACTGTTAATGAGCTCCAATTAGACAACTTCATAAGGACAATTTGTATTAGAGTTTAGGTTAAGAGCTTTAATATCTGTGCCAATATTAGTGCTGCTCCCTGTAAGCACATAAGAGTTACCTTTGCATACGCCTTTCCTCCCTTCAGCTCCTGAAGAAAAGAAGCAAAAACATATTTCAGAGCAAATAGAGGACAGAAAATAACTCAATCTGCCAGTTTGTAACCCTGAAACATCAGATGATGGAAATTTAAAGTGATTTGGTTCATGTTCTGCCAGGTTTCACATCCATCAGCCGGGTTTCGGTTAAACACATCCCACGCAGAACTTTCAGAACATTTAAGACACTAAAAATGTTACATGAAAACACTTATTGGTGCAAAATTGCTGTACCTTTCTCACAGACACACGACATATGCAGGGGTCCAGCACGCCTGTTCCTGCACTGGCGCTCATCTTGCAGGGGAAAGAAAATCGCTTCCTCCATCGAACGCAGTTGGCCTGCACCGGCTCCCTGTTACAGGAAATCACAAAGAATTAGCTCACCTTTAAACACTGTTTAAGGTCAGATAGTAGTGTATGTATGGGTGCAGGGGTCTGCGTCCTGCATTCTTAAAGGCCAGACTCCAACTGACTGTTGAGGAAGCCAAGGGTGATTGTTGGAGCAACATCAAGACATTTTTGTTTGAGCACAAAAAGAAAAGAAAAGAAAAAAAAAACAAAAAAAAAACAAGCATGGACGTAAGAGTTAAAAATAGCAATTTATGGTTTTCTTTGAGATCAGATCTGCTGCAGATTAATTGGTGCCTCTCTAGAAGGAATATTATTATTGTTTATGGAAGCCATTAGACTTTATTATGGAACAATTTTCAACCAATTTCAAATTCAAATTCAACCAATAATCAAACTGGTAACGACAGACAAGTTAGAAAAGCCTTTTCATTTGCAACCCATTCAGGATTACTTCAATTTGCTTCAATTACCCGACTTTCATAAGCCACAGGTATTCCCTGTTTAAAAAGCACTCCGGTCAATATGATTATAACCTCATTTTTTTACAGATAAAAAAACAAAAACAAAAAGTTGTCTTCTTGTTTTCCGTTTATTGATTCATCTAACAATGCCAGAAACATGGCTTCCCATTCTGTCGTCAGGTTAGGCTGCACGTGAGTCGTGCCCCCTGCTCTGAGCAAAAAGGCTGAGATGAAGCTGTGTGCGTGGGCAGAATTACGATACCACAGATGGCTTCACTTTCACCAGCCCTCTCTCCTCTCCCACTCACATCACTGCACAACTCCAATCTGTTTATACAGCCCATCATGCCGTAAATTATCTGGCATTTTGCTGGACATAAAAACCAAATATAATAGAGTTTTTTTTTCTTCTTTTTTTTGCAGAAAGAAATTTGAAATTAAAAACTGGGTTAAAGCTACTCTAAAGGTATAAGATTTCAAACCAACACAGTGATAATGAGATTAGACATCCAGGCTCATATCCTGCACAGCATCACTGCCTATAAATGAAAAACAGCAGATGTGTGACTAATGTTGGACAAATGCTTACTTCATCCCGGGGATCTTCTGAGGGTGAACCTTCAGAGTAAGAGAGGGAACTCCCCGTCAGCTGGACATTGTGTGCTTCGGGAATTCTGGCTCGTGTTCATGCTTCATGCTCTACGGCTCCGAGCGTTTTTTTTTTTTTGTGTGTGTGTGCAGCAAAATCCTATTAGCCGGTGTGAGTAGCTCTGTGTTAAACCAGATCTCCCCTTGTTTCTCTGCATGGTTCAGATGCCTTACAAAAAAAAAAATCTACATCTGCTCTACATTAAAAGACACTAGCCAAAGAAGTTCACTTAAAAATATATATAAATGAAACAGCTGCATATTTTTGAAATTGGACCCTGATTATGAGTGATGCTCCAATCACTGGGTGAGAGATTGGAATCAGCCATTTTTTCAAGTCAGCATTTGGTCAAATGGAGGGGAAGGGGAAAGGGAAGGGAACCCCCCACCCTCCCTGACAAAATTGATGCATGCATTAAAACCATGAACTCACACTATCTTTGTTCTATAAATGCCCTCAGCTAACAGCAAGATCTCCTTTTGCTTAAAATAAATCCAGTTAGGTTAAGGACGAAGCTTTCTTACCACATTACTACTACTATCAAAGAACCTAAAAAACATTTTGCACATTTATAAACATTAGACTTGAATCAGCTGAGCATTAAAAGCATGATAGCTGCTTCTCAGTAAATGTAAAAAGGAAAAAAACAGATGTAAGCTTCACTGAAGGAAATAAATGGGGTAAAGAAAAAACAATTAGATAAGCTTTAAACCACATCTGTTGTTGCAGCAAACCCATAAGCATCCTGAGTTATCCTGACTGTTTTTTGTCTTTTTTTATCTGAATCAATTTTTTGTGGAAATTTTTGAGGAAATACTGCTTCATCAACCATTTCCACCCTGAGGACCACATTCAAAACATCGCCCCCCCATTGAAAGCCTTAAGACTGATATAATTTATGAGCATCACCCGCTTGACTTTCCTTGCGTCATTCTTTCAGCAGAAACAGCAGAAACATGAGTCAGATACTCCAGGGTTAACGTGAATAAAGGATATAGGTCATTTCCTCTCAAATTCAACAGCTCTGATGGCGTATTTTACACATTTTAACACAGGTTAGAATTGTAACACACAGCAGAATCGCTTCAGTTCCTCTCATGTTTATGCTTTTATTTTGTTTTTTTTATAGCGAATGTCTCATGATCCTGATGGGGCAAAGTCAACCACTCTGCTTGTTATGTTCATTCTTTTTTATTTGTATCAGTTAATGAATAATTGAAGCGTTATAATAGAAAAAGAGACGTAGACATCTTTCTGTTACAGTCCATTTCATGATGCTCACATATTTACAGCATGTGCTGAAGCATATTGAGTTATTCCAAAAAAAAAATCACACACTGTTAAACCGAAAAGAAAAATACACAGATCTTCTGGAATGGTCAGGACTGAAGATGTTCATATGAAAAGGGATTTAAAATGAACAAAATCAGCAACATTTGGAAACATTCCTTTTTGAAGTTTGGATTTAAGTTAAAGAAGCTACTGGAATGGTTTCCTCCGAGTTAAAGTACTTAAACAATGTTGGATTAAAACATTTTTTTTCTATAAAAATGTACCGCTTCATCTTCCTGATAGGAAGTGATAACTTTTTCTCTTCTGATTAGAACTATGCTGAGTCAGCACTGTGACCAAACACACGCTGGTTGAACCGGACGTTACCCATCAGGGTAAAATTGTGTTTTTCAAGCATTATTTTTTAAACAAAGTTTTCATTTCTATTTGCCTGTTGATGTTTTGTTCAAACAATTGCATCTGGTGCGTAACTCTGCATGCAAACCTTGAAATCAGCAAGTCTCTTCTTTATTACTTTCATTCTTTAGTCTTTCCACCCTTTTTTTCCTGAGAGAATGTTTAAACTAGAAACTAGGTCTGAAACAGTGATTCAGATTATTTCTGATAAACCAATCCAAATAACTGTCAACTGGACAAGATATTTAATATTTAAAATCTTTGTAATCATGATCTAGCTTTAATTCCCGAAATTGATGTTTTTAAATGTTGAGTTGACTTCTTTTTTTTTATATTTTAGCCACTTACAATGTTTTTAAAATGTGCCATAATGCATTTTCTTTTTTCTTTCTTTCTTGTTTTTTTTAGATGTTATTTTGCTAAAAGTATATTATGCATTTACCAACACCATGAACATCTGCTGCCTCACTAGAAATACAGCAATCTTTGAACTTAATTTGAAAATCAAAAAATAACCTTTGCAGATTTTGTTATGACCGGTGCATATATAAAAAAAAAAATCAGCATTTTATAAATAAAGTTTCTGCTTTGCAAGGACTTTAAATTTTTGATCTATCAAATGTAAGCTTTAAATCCTTCAGCACTAAGTTTAAGTCAATAAAATGCACAAATCAACCTTTCCAGGGATCTAACCTGCAGACTCCACAGCATCTGGATTATGGTGCATGTCCATCCCTGACCTATGACCCCTAACTTACACAAAATTAGTGACAATATTTCACTATCCAACACACATGTGTTGTTTTGGAGGTAATGTTAGCTAAATTTAAAATACCGTAACATCTACTCTGAAAACACAAATAAAATGACAGACCCCTCCTTTTTCTTGACTAAATATCTTATATTAGACATAAAGATATTACAATATGGTTATATTTGACACATTTTATATCTCCATCAGTGGTCTATGACCATAAACAAACCTTTAAATCGACTAAAAGACTCGTTAATCTTTTAGCCGTTGAGATAAATATATAATAACGACTTACACCACAGAGTCTGATGCTAAAAACAATAAATTGGTTTAACTATAGTGGCTCAATTCAAACTATTTGTCTTTTCTTATTTTACCTTGAAGACTCCTCTGAGAATCCGCCATCCAGCAGCCTGACTTTACAGAAGAGGACACCGTTGACGATGGGGACCGACGACAGCTCATCCAGCTCAAAATCCACCCTGAACTTGAATTTCTTCTTCTTCATCATCATTAAATCCATATACAGCCTCGGCGGTTACGAGAAGATGCTCCGAGCCCAGGAGTGGCAGACATTACAGCCCCATTGTGTTCGCCTAGTCTGGTTCAGGGACCGTTGCTGCGAGAGGTTGAAGCTACGGTTGACAACAGGCCGTCAACGGAACAGAGCAAACCCAAACCAGATCTACTTCCTGTTTTATCCTTCATAATAAAAGCACCTGATCTTACCACGCGCTCATTTAGGGATTCTTTTGTGCTTTTATTCTCTGAAACTAATCGTACATGCATATTTATAAACAATTTTTTTGAAACTGTCCCTTTTTTTTTTACTTATGTGATTTTTATCTCAAAACATGAGCAAGAAATCAGGTTTTCGGTTTATATTAACATGTGGATTAATTAGATTTTGAACCCAGTTTTGTTTCTTTGATACAACTTAGTAATCAAACTTTAAGTTTTTTATGAATAAAATAAGCAAATACTTTTTTTTTTTAAATAGCCTATTTGCCATTTCCTGGGGCAATCCCAAAATTCTAATATAAAATCAAGTTTTGAACTCCAGTAAAACAATTTTAAAAGCATTTTTTTTCTCTCACAGTCATTAATTTGTGATTAAATAAACTGTGATACAGACACATAAAACTTCTATAATTCATTTTCTAGTAAACACCTGAGATTTTGGGACAAATTATTTTGGAAACACATCTCAACAAAAGCCCCACTTCTGTTTTAGGTGAAGTAGTCCCAGATCTTGGCAGCACCTCTACCATATTGCACTTTGGGTATTACGTTCTTTGGCAAGTGTGTGTTGTTTTTGTATAAAACCTTCCTTCTGAATTTGTGATCCAAAGTTTGATTCATAACACATTTTCCCAAAAGGTTTTGGAATTTTTTATCAAGGACTGGTCCTCTGATCAAAAGGCTTCTGTTTCATAGCTTTACTCCTTCAAACAAAGATGTAGAGAATTTCTTTGTTTTTTAGTAATGTCTGGAATGTAACCAGTGCTAAGTATAAATAATGTTTCCTAAAATAAATATTCAATTATAATTTAAGATAATAAAAGATCTGTCACATTTTTTATTTTTTCAAATCAATCTATTGATTGTTGTAATGAAGAAAGACATAGATATCAGTAAAACAGCTACAGGACAATATGAAAAATCACAGTATCTACTAATATTTTGCTTATCTGTGAATAATATTGTTTTGTATGTCTCAATATTAGAATTTGAGAAACAAAAGAAATATGACTTTACCTCATAAACATTACAATCTTCTCTATCATGAAAATAAACTCTGCTTAAGATATTATACCCAGTATTATATCTAAATAAGGAAACACGATTATGAAGTCTATGTAGGAATAAATTACTGTTTTGTTACTACTAAAGCTAAAACTAGCTTTATTTGAGTCTTCTTTTACTTTGAAGTGCCTCTTTACTAAAGGGATATACAGTCGTGACCACTTTGAACTAGCTGCTCTTCAAAATAAAGCCCGCCTCTTTACTCGAGCTCCCCCTGCTTGTCAACGGGAAAACTGCAGCACTGATTGAACAGATTAGAACAAAGCGAAACTACCAACTGTTATCATGTTCGTTGTTGCCACCTAGTGGTTAAAACTTTTCACTGCGGTAAAATACATAAATATTAAAAAAAACAACGGAATTTTTGCGACATCTACCGGATATTTAAAGGAATAACACATATTTAAAGTACGGTTGTCACATCGACTTTGCACTATGGGTGGGTCTCAGTTTATGACATGTAAACGCTCTGATGTGTGTGTAAAACCAACCATAAATATTTCAATTATTGGAATGAGTTCTAAGAACAGGTTAAGCTCACGTCGAAAGCAAAAACTATTCTCGATGTTTGCTGGCTCTGAGATGGGTGTGTCTGTGTGCGCAGTAAAAGTAGGAGGTCTTCTAGGCCAACTGGGGCGAGTCTTTCTCCACCCTCTGCCAGCCTACCTCATCCGCTGAAGTATTTTTTTTTTACTTTCATATAAACCTTTTTTAAGTTTTTCTTTGCGGATTACACACTCCAGTGTCCCATGAGGATCTCCTGTAGTTTCCTATTCAGGTTGCAGCGCGGATATCTTGTTAAAATCGGGCCAAACTCTCCTTCTGTCTAAAACCAGAAGTGCCAAACCGCAGGAGTCGACTTGCGCTCGTTTCCCCATCGTTGCTTGGGTTGTGCGTGTGGAGCTCTCTGTAGGCCTCGTTGGATTTGTTTTTATTTTTTCAGCTTGAAACCATGTATCCTGCAGTGAGAAAGCTGTTTTTCACGGATTGTCGGTGCGCAGGAGATCCATCAAAGAACTATGAGGAGCTGTTTGCAAAGCTGGACACCAACAAGGATGGGAAAGTGGATGTTAGTGAGCTCAGAGCAGGAATGGCTGCAATGGGCATCCAGACTGGGAAGAGAGCTGCTCAGGTAGATGCATACTGGAAAACATATACTTTTATGCTTTTCAGTAAGAAATGTTGTGTGTAAGTCTAATCAGTTTAATCTAATGTGCCATACTAGTCATTTTAAATGGAAAGGATGAAAAAGAAAATATTTATTCATTTTTAACCATAATGGAAAAAACAACAAAATCAGTGTATTTAATCCGATTTAATTGCAATCAAATGTATATTTCCTGTCTGACTAATTGGTAATATTCTTCACACAGATCAGTTTAATTTTAAACAAATCCCCTATTCTGTAGATGCCCCAATTGATTAACCTGCTGACTCCAACTTGGACTGATTCAGACTTTTTGCTTCCATCAGAACTACATTAAGAAGATAAATAACAGCCTGTAGCATTTTCTTTAAAAAAAAAAACATTTCTCATTATAGAAATGGATCAAAATGAATGTATGGATGAACGATGGTGGGAGTTGTTAAAATAGGAGCCAGGATCCTGCAGACTTTTCAGTTTTTGACTTGTTGACCTCCGATCAAAGGTTAATAAAGGGGATTGAAACATTCTCTGGATGAATGATTGGTGCATTACTACTGTAGTCAGTGCTATATATTTCTCAGTATAATACCTTGAAATGTATTAATTATACTGTTGGAATAAGTTTTGCATCATATTTTGCATGCTGAAGTCTGCTGCGGGGCTGATAACTGTTTTTTTTGGCTCATGCACCCATATAAAGTTAGATATGTTTACTTGCATAAGCATAGGCAAGAACTGGATCTGTTTCTTAGAGGAGGGTCTTAATGTTTGGGGGCTGGGTGGCTACCTTTATGAGGTGTACTAATTATTTCTCTGGAAAATACTTCTATGAAATAAACAGACATTTTGAAATCAAATTAATATGAATGTTTAGCCGAGCTTCAATAAAAATTGATAAACAGACTAATTTATCACCATGTTTGACTGGATAAGACAAGTTTATGTTTAGAAAATGCAAATATGAAAATTGTGCTTTAGATTAGGTGGGATTTTCTTGTACAGTCTCTGTGAACATCTTGTCATTATGGATGGTTGTACTAGTTATAGCTGCATTGCAGATCGTCTGGTTTAAGCAAACTAAACGACCTAAACTCAGCCTCCATTTTGTTTGTTGTGTGAAAGTTGAATTTACTAATGTGGAAATATGCCCTAGAGCAAGGCAGTTCACCTGAAACTGCTCCAGCATGTCTGATCAGAAACCAGGTGGTTTGTCATTTCCCCTGGTGTTTCTGACCTGGGTAAGCTAAATGAAAATAAAAGATTTCTTTTTTTTAATAAACAGGAAGATTTCAGAATATTTGTGAGGATCTTTTTTTATCAAAACTACAGTAAAATCAACAAGAATTTAACTGGATGATTGAGCCTGGTTTAAATTCAGTAATGCAAATTTTATTTTAATTTATCTATTACAACAAAAGATAATTCAATAATTTGTTTATAGAAACAAACAACAACTGATATTAAAAGAATTAGTTTCTTGATTGGTTTATTCCGAGCCAGAATTGGAACCCAGCTCAGCTTTCCAAACTCTAGAACATAAGGAGGAATTTGGAATTTCTCTGTTTAAAATAAGATCATTTACATAAAAGTAAAGTCCACATATTTCCTTAGGTAGTCAGATAAACTATTTTGTTTCTTAAGAATGTAGGCAACAGCCTGAATGAAATAAACTGTTGATTTTACCTTTCAGTAAAAGTCCAGGAGCAGCATTTTAAGGTTATCTGGAAAAATGGGTTAATGTAGATTAGTTGTGCAAATAACAATTATTTTCAAATCGAATAATGTTTAAATTTTTTTTTTTCGATTAACCAATAATAATTGATTAGTTTAAGGTTATTTAAAGATTTTTTTTTTTACTAAATTAAACCAGGTGAAACTAAAACCTTTCCACTTCAGGAGTTCTGGGTAGAGCGTATTGACAGACACATTTTATTTTTTTTTCATCTTAAATGCAAAATTAGTATGTATTTTGTTTACAATTTTAATAATTACTACTCTAAGTGGGTTGCTCTGTCAGCTAAAGGCATATTTTAGAGTCTCAATACTCCAGTTAACGATTAATAGATTACTAAATTAGTTGAAATGATTTCAATAATCGATTTATCAAGATTAATCTGTTTAATTGTTTCAGCTTCAATGTAGATTAAAGGTCTATCCTGAGATGTACAGGTGAAATACAGTAGATCCTTCTCTACAGCAAGCAAACCAGCTGTTACTGTAACCTTATCTGTCATAACCATGATGAATTTTCAGAAGCTTTGTTTCTGTTTCGAATTTTCCTAAATTTTTCTAAAAAGTTTGAATTTTAATTCATTGTACTGATCACAACTATCTAGACATTATGTTTCTCTTTAGAAAAAGCTGCAGGATCCGGCTGCTAAAAAGCACAGCGACTGACATATAAAGGAATTGAGGGATTTTACCTTAAAAGGTAAAGCTTCAGATTAATGGGAGCTGTTGGGCCCTAAAGAAAGAATCCCTCTTTATATGAGTGAATGTTAAAAGGTTAAATGAAGGAGAGGCCACTGCTGTGCGTGTGACTCAGGGCTGTAAAATAAATAAATAAAAAGCTTTCAGGGATATGATAAGCAGTAATAAATCTCCAAACTGGTTGCTTTTATGTTATCTACAGACTTAAAGACATTAGATGTGTTATTTCTGTAGATTTTAGACTGGAACAGGAAAAAATATATTGTAATATTATCAAAAT